TTAGATAGAATATTTACATAATCTGGCTATTTTACCAACTTTGTAGCTACCTAAGCTCAACAGAAGCGTGTGTGTGTGTGTGTGTGTGTGTGTGTAATTTATTTCTTTTAGTAAGAATCTGAAAAAAACTGTCATATAGTAACAATATGAAATATTGTTTATAAGGTTATCTCTATCTTAAATTCATCCACAAATTTCAGTCATCTAATTATATACATTCTAAATTGTACTAATACTTTATATTTCATAATGTTAGAAGGAAAATAAGGCATTCAGTTTCATTCAGGGATCTTAACTTCTAACTTTCTTCACTCCAGACATAATTTGATGTCATGAGCCTTCTTACTGGCTCTTTTACTTCAACCCAAAAAAATTAGAATGAATATATGGATATAAATAAAAAATAGTATACATATATCTACTTTTTTCTGATATGAGATGCAAAATCACAAATCTTTATCTTTTAAGTATTTAAGATGCTGAAAATATGAAGTAATTTTCTTGCAACAATCCTAAAATGACTACAGTAAAATCCTGATGGTTGCATATACTTTGCAATAACCAAACTAATTTTTCCTCCTCTACTTATTGAATTCTCCCCAACTGTGTTTGAAAAAATGCGAACCTGTTATTCAAACTGGCATTATATGTTGCATTTAACAGTTTATATGACTTGAAACTCAAATGTGCTATATTTTTGGATATTAAGAAAAAAAAATCAAGCACAATTTCTGGACATGTTCAAGTCGCTCCTTGGCTATAATACAGAAGTTGTTTGCCATTGCTGTCTTTAGATTTTTCTTCTTCTTTTTTGGCTTTCCCAGGCTATTCTACAGCCCTGGAATTTCCTGGTACTCTTCTATCCAAGTAAAAACTGGTTGGATACTATTTAGATTGTCTTTCTTTCTTTTAGAACAAGCAAGTTCCCCTAGGTGCTGAGTTCTGTTGTGACATATTATGAACATGGGTTCATATAAATAGAAACATTAGTTTAGTTTCAAATTCATAGCTCTACTTGAGAATTTCATATGTTTTCAAATCGAAACATTGGGAACACATTAGAAAAATATTTTATATGGGCCAATCAAATATCACATAATTACAATGGTGGCTTTTGCATACTTTCAGCAACTCGGTGTCAGTGTACCTAATATCTATGTGTTATATTTGCCTTGTATGGGACTTGTCTGTAGGAAGAACAGTATATTGCATGACAAAAGAAAGCAGAATCTCTCTCTCTCTCTCTCTCTCTCTCTCTCTCTCTCTCTCTCTCTCTATACAGAGAGAGAGGGGGAGAGAGAGAGAGAGAGAGAGAATTATTATTACACAATTTATTTATCTATTTGAGGTTAGTAGATATTTTTTATGGTGGTAGAGAAAAATATACCAGTTTATTCTGGTGTTTAATGAGCACAGTTCTCCCAAGCAATATGATGATCTGCTAATCTAAGAACCGAAGTTAAATAAATTCCCAATACTTTATATATCACTTCCTGAAAGATAGAGAATTTCAGCATGCACAACCACAAGTATAAAAATGATGTGTATCATTATAAACTGAGGAGAAAGAAATACATATCCTACGGTCACCCTTGCCACTTTGTTCTAAATAAAAGTTTAACTTAGTAAACTTAATTATCCCATTGCACTATATGGATAACTGTTTACATAAGGTGAAAATGGGTAACAATTTGCCCAACAGATGATCTCACTGATAGACTAATGAGAACACCAAAGCATTCCCCTAACTGTAATTTTTAATGTGCCATCATGGATCCAAGTTCACAGAGGGGTTTATAAATGCTTCCCTTCGTTTTGAATATTTACAAACACCTTATAAAAGTGCCATTAGATGTAATATCAGCTGTCTTAGGGTGCTTAATGAGGCTGGTATTTTGCATTCTAGCATTAACAGTGGGAGGAGGGCCAATTCAGATGTTTTATGTTTCAGCTTTTTTGGTTTAAATTTTTGCTATAAGATGGTTGCAACCTACCCTAAGCTACTCATTAGAAAGCATATATCATAAAATAAGAAGAGCTTGAATCTGATATAGGAAAGGCTGGTAATGTAAGGTGCCATCCAAATGTTTGAATGTAGTTTAAATATTCTATGAGAGAAAAAGATCAACTTCAGCTCTGCACAGATTTTGCTAAGATGCACAGGAATCTCCACATTGGGGAAATGTATCAAAAGTTAGTCAGGAAGCTCCTGGAAACACGGAACCACATGAGACGCATCCTTACTATTAGAATTTACTTGAGGCTATTTGATTAAATGGAGATGCACCAGTTGAAAAACATTGATTCTATGAATTCGGGACTTTCTATCCAGTATGAAGCTTGTTAGGTAGAAAGGTAGAAGTATAAACAGCGTGCAATGGCCCCTTCAAGCTCAGTCCTTAGGTCCATACTCTAATAACCCATGAATGCAAGTTCACTAAAGATGATATTTCACAACCCCTCCTTTTTCTGCAGTACTCCAAAACACAAAACTGTGGTACATAGGGAGGTGCACTACTCCCTACAATTTTTTCTTGTAGGATCAAAGTAAAAAAATGAATAGATCAGAATTACACTTTCCAACTCCACCTTATTGGAAGGATTACTAAAATGATACATGCTAACTAAAGCCAATTTCAGTTTCTCTTTGTAAACAAGCTCACATAAGAATCCAGGGTCAGATGCTTCAGTAAAAAGCAAGTTAGTAGCCAGTAGTAGAAATTAGATAATATCACACCTCTCTCTTGGGCTTAATTTACAGTTTTCCCTGGAAAAGACTTCTTTATAGCATTCCAAATGGCCTTATGACCTCCTGTATTATTTTCATGATAATAAAAGTTCCTTTGCAAAAGTTCACATTTAAGTACTTTGAACTCATATTCAACTACTTTGTAGCCAAACTTACGAGACTGCCTAGGTACACAGCTACCTCAGCCAGGGGAAAAAAATCACTGCCAGTATTTATGGATAGCAATCAGATGGGGATTGCTAATCCATGTTTTTCTTTTCTGCCTAGAAACTAGCAGTATGCAGAAATGGTGGTAAGATTTACGGCTTCTCGGGTTGCCAGATCTTTTAAGGTTCAAGAAGCAGTAAAATATTTTATACAGTGCAATAGCACCACTCTGTGGCTTTAGTTCAAGCAAGAACATACAGTGCTGGGGCAGTGTGTTGCAAGTGTCCTAAGATACGAACAGTTTATCAAATGTACAGAGCCACAACTGGGTCTTTGAGGGTTTCTTACAAAATATACTTGTTACTAACAATTAGAATTAATTATTCTAATTAACCTGAGTTCTGATCCTTCTCCCCCTTCTGTTTATTTTCTTACTCATTCACTATGGTGTTTTAGTTCTTTGACATGTCCTTTTAAATATTCCCAAAACTTTGTTATGCCTTTAAAGTTCTGCATTCATTGATTCATGAATTTTAACATTTTTATTTGTGATCAGTTTGAACAAATTCATCTTACTTGCATAATCCAGATTCAACGGCAAGTGTAAAGATTGTTTTATATAATATATCCTAAAATTGTACTGTGTTCTCATTAAACTCTTTCACTAAAATAAAAAATGCTTTCAAAATTTGATTTAGGACAATCATCTTTTAAATCTTCTTTTAGAATAATTAATATTAATCCACTGGATGAAACAAACCCTTAATTTTAAAAGCCACTCGGTAGCTAATAAAACAAAATCATTTTATATTTAAAACATCATTTCAAAGAATACTTTACAAATAGTTATTCTACATTGGGGTAAACAATTAATTTTCCCAAGGGGCCACATGAGAAATTGGTACTGTTGTGGAGTTCCACCATTGCTGCTCCACCGCCCCACTGCCACTTCTTCTTCAGAGCCGAAGAAGCTTCTTGGATGAGAAGCGAAATGTCTTCAAAGAAAAACCAGAAATTTCAGTTGCTTCTTGAAAAAGCACCTTTGGGACAACCATGCCCTGGATGACTGAGAATCTCCATAGACATAGGATATGGATGGTCAAATTAACAATATTAAACTATACTGGACTTATGTACCACAACATCCATATTTTCCATCAGTGAATTCAACAAAGTGCTTTTTCAAAACCCAGAGCTCTATTATGTTTTCTGTATTAGAGGCTACCAGGTATAGTTGGAAGATGTTCTGGCAGAAGTATAATTCTGATTTTTACCTATATGATAAATTTGTTCTCTGGGATTATCTTAGCATAAAAAATAACTGCAAATATTTGGGCAGGGAGACATTCCAGATGAGGCATTTTCCTTCTAATCTCTCCCTTTATTTATACTTCCTCTTTTCTACTGGAGTGAACCAGTGGAATCCAGGAAAAGAGCCCAATTTAATGGTTAAGATCCCAGTTGCAACATAAGAGAATGCCACACCAAGTATGATTGATTATAAAAACTGTAATAAAAAAAGCAAACTTGAAATTAAGGTTTTACTAAAAGGGGCCGAACCTGAAATCAACATTGATTTTGTATTATGGCTGTAAAAACAAAAAACCCAGATAATCATTATGTATGACAGTGGAGAGGTACACAAATATGAACCCTCTGCTGCTATGCAGTGGCTATCCAGATTATTGCAGACTACTTTATGCCACCCACACAGTGACTTGCTCTCCTGAATGATGATTTAAAAGTCGTGAAGAAGGATTATTCCAGGTTGGATTTGGGATTAGCAAATGTTTTGCATATTAGAAACAAATACTTCTTCCACTCTCTCTAACAATAAATAGCTAAAGCATGGAGTAGTCAGTTGAAGCCCATGACAATATCTTTTTGAAGGTGTTACAGTACTGATGGGATTTGGCTTGCTTCAATTAAGCCACCATGGCTTGGTGTAATTAGTATGTCAGAGTGTTTGCAGTGTGACTACTATTATGAGACAATCCAAGAGCAAAACACAGCACACAAAGACTTAGACATTTAACAGTGGTTTATCAACAAAACATATACAGAAATATACATGATAGGCAAATACCTTGCAATCAATCTTCTTAACTTTACTCTAAGAACTCTGCAATAGAGACAGGACACAAGGAGAGAGAATAGACCCTGTAATGGTTGCCTTTATATAAACACCTCTTAAAGGGGTAGAACCCATCCCCAGTCTTAAAGAGGCAGTACCAATGCTGATTCATCTTCAATTGCATCAGCCCTATTATTGCATCCGCTTCACTGCTGGTTGGCTCTTAAATCCCAAGATCTTAATATAGTATGGGTTATATCCAATCAGTTCCATGAATAGAACAGGCCACACTGATGGATCATTGGCCTTCTAGAGCTGATCTAGGGAAGCTCAGGAAAATACAAATAGAAGGAAGTAAGGAAAAGTCTATTAGTGGTAGAATTCATTCTGATGGAACTCTATGAACAGGCAACATGGTTTACTCCATACAAAATTAAGCAAACAGAGAATATTAATAGCAAAGTTTTTCTGATGGTAACCTTTGTTTATTAAAACATGTACTTTCTACATAGGAAAGCTTAGTGAATACCCAAAGCTTAGCGAATAATACAATATGCATGAATTCAAATTTAGACTTTGTTAAAAAAATCTCTCCAATTAAACATCTATCCCTTGTTAAAAATAACAAACAAACCTCAATACAGAATGGAGGGAAAGTATTTCAAGGAAGAATACTATAAAACTCTTTTACTTTATATAGAACACAGTCTTAAACACCAATTCAGAAGAGAGTGTACATGCTGGGCTTCAAAACCCAAATATGAAAAATATATGCACACAAGGGATCATTCACAACCTCATTTACAGCTCTTAATCAGAAGACTCAGTTGCAGCTGCTGGAAAACATCCACAATAAGCAAACATTACAAAACATTGTTTATATTACCTGGTCTCCACTCTACCCTGGATAACTTCATTTTCAGCCCACAGCAAATGCTGTAACTCCACCACTGTGCCCTTGATTAAGGCAGGACAGATGTTTTCATGTCATGATGGGGACCACCCAAGGAATTCCCCCCCCCCTCGATATTTCAAAGTCATATTTTCATCTGTTAAAATAAGTGGGGTGCCCATGAAGGCACACTTCAGGATATCATCTACTAAGAATTAAAACTGTTAAAATAGACTAGCATCAAATTATAAAAATTAAGCATCAAGGAAACACGCACAATTAAAAGCTAAGTCATTATGCCTTTGGTGACAATTCTACATATGGGAGTAAATCCCATACCTGGGAGTAAATCTAATGAACTCAATCAATCAGAATAGAGCTGGAAGGGATCTTGGAGGTTTTCTAGTCCAGCCCTTGCTCAAGCAGGAGATCTTATACCATTTCAGACAAGTGGCTGTCCAGTCCCTTCTTAAAATCTCCAGTAATGAAGCACCTACAACTTCTGAAGACAAGCTATTCCACTGGTTAATTGTCCTCCCTGTTAGGAAGTTTCTCCTGAATTCCAGGTTGCTTCCCTCTTTGATTAGTTTCCATCCACTGCCCTCTGGTGTTTTGGAAAATAAATTAACCCCATCCTCTCAACTACTGGAATACTGCTATCATGTTCCCTCTAACCTTCTTTTCTCCAGACTAGCCAAACCCAAATCCTGCAACCATTCTTCATTGGTTTTAACCACCAGGCCTTTAATCATCTTAATTGCTCTTCTTTGCACTTTTTCTAAAATCTCAGTATCTTTTTTGTAATGTGGTGACCAAAACCAGATACAGTATTCCAGGTGTGTGGCCTTACTAAGGCTTTATAAAGCAGTTCTAATATTTCTTGTGATTATGATTCTATGTCTCTGTTTATACAATCAAGGATTGTATTAGCTTTTTTGTCTGCTGTTGCATGCTTCTAGCTCATGTTTAAGTGTTTGTCCACTAGGAGTCCAAGGTCCCTCTTGAGCTTTTAGTCTAGATAATCAATATCCCATTTCCAAAAAGCTGTTATCAAAACTGTATGCTTTTTGAGAGATACTTCTCATTTCTAAAAGCAGCCTAGCATGAAAAACAAATATGATATGAAACTCTACTGCATGGGAAAAACCATCATATTTGAAAACAATGTAGATATGGATAGGGTAACTTGTTTCATTCCTACAGATGCATGCACTTTCCTCTAGTGTAATGTGAGAATGTACATGTGCACTGATGCATTTTGCTTCTGAAAACATAGAAGCCTGGATGCAAAAGAAATATTTCTACCTGGAAATTCTTCTGAAGTATATCAAGAAAGCAGAGGATAGGTGCACAGCTGATACCTACAATGGTATTTAGAGGAATGGTCAACCTGTAGGAGTTGCCACTGATATCCCCCATAATGCCCCTCTTGTTTGGAAACAGAGGCATTTGGCTCAACTTTCTTGAAGAGAGAATGTTATACAAATTCAGTATGAGAATTATTATGTTCTTCTATCTAACCCAATTACAAATAAAAGGAAAAAAGTGTGTGTGGGTGGAAGTGTATTAAACAGAGAGAGGAAGGGGGAGAGAAAGGAACAGAGAGGAATGGTCCTCTGGATATATAAGCTATATATCTAATGTATCCACTTCCATATTATATAACTAATCAATTTCTGTAAGCCACCTAGAGTTGTTTTTGGTGAGATGGACAGCATAGAAGTTTGATAAATACATAATTGTTGTGACTCGGAGGCTTGAGCCTGCTCTGTTGGAGGACACAGGCTCGAGTGATGAGGAAGAGGAGGATTTGGCCTTGAGGTTTGAGCCTGCTTTGCTGGAAGATTCGGAATCATCTTCCTCCCCTTCCTCTCTGGTTGTGCCTCAGGTGTCGGCAGATAATCAGGAGAGAGTGCCGGAGTCCTTGGCTGAGGATCAAGCCGAGGAATGCTGGTTTGATGCAAGGCAAAGACGCAGGCAGAAGCGGGAAATGCAACGTAAAAGGAAATGTCAAATCAGGGACTGACTTGAGAGACTGACACGCCCCTCAGGAAATAAAAGAGGGCGTGTTAGCTCTGAATCCTCATTCGGGACAATTTGTTTATTCAGAATAGCAGCTTGACAAATTCTCTGTGTGCCGTTTGCCTTTTGATTTATGGTCTTGTTTGTTATCGGACTTGGCAGGCAGCTTCTGGAAGACTGCCAAGGACTTCTCCAGTCAAAGGAATTTAACTCTATTGTTCCTGGTCCTGTCTGTTTATTTATATTCCTGTTTATTTATATTCCTCACCTATATTCACAGGTGAGACAGAACACATAATAATATAATAGACTTAACTATAGTAAACAATCAATGTTTATAGCATATCTGACAGTGTTATCTCCCCATTCTCATCTCATTTTTAATTGGAGAACCAAGGCTGATCCCTAGCTCATAACTCCCTAGGAATCCAGAGTGAATCAGTGATAATGCTTCCCTCAACCCCACTATCAGAAAGAAATTTGGAATTATTAGATATATTCAGAGAATGAAGTATCTGCATCGCAGCTGCATTTCTAATCTTCTTATCTGGTACAAACTCCTACTGAACCATTCCAGTCATTTAAATTATGTCCAAATAAAGGTCACTTTTAAAAAAAAGGACTGCACAACAGTCTACAAGCAACTACAATGTTCTCTCTTATCAGTCCACTTTTTGTAAACCTACAATCTTAGGCCTCCATTTGAGAATCACTCCTTCTTAAATCTAAAAAATGTGTCCACAAATAAACAGGCAGTCAAAAGTGTCTATAGGCAATTCACTTAATTTCTCATTAAGAGCAGAACGTAAAAGCAGAATTATACTTGACAAAAAGAGGCAAATTATATGTCATGGTGATTAGAAGAGACACAAAAGTCTTCATTCTTCTTCAATCATACCTTCCAAGAATATTGGGATTTCAAATTTTTGGCCATACTGTCCAGAAATTAAAAAGCTGAAATCCAATAATCTGGATACCAGATTTTGGTCTGATTTAATCTAAGCTACTATTAATCTATTTGACTATAGAAAATTGTTGTTCACCTACAGATATTACTGGCATACTTTAAACAGGGCTAACAAATCTAGGGTATCAGGGATTCTTTTCAGCTCTAGACTCAATGAAAACCATAACACTACCAAATGTTTTTCATGGACCTATTCACAGCCAGTACCCAGATGACACTGAAATTTTGCATTTTACCACATAAAGTTAGTACTAGGTACGAAGGTATTATTTTAAACACTGGGGAAGAAAATATCTTCTATCTAAAATTTTAAGCTTCAGATTTTTTGGTAGAGTGAAATTCTATGGATGATATCTTTAACAAAAATTAAACTGTATTCATTATTAAAGGAATGTTTGTACAGGCAGCTGAAAGACTGGCAGTGCTAGGATCTAAATTTTCTGTCCATAAGCCAGATAAGGTTAATGTAGCCAAGTGGAATTGCTTGCTTTTGTTTGTTTATTTTTTGTGGGGGGGGTTTCACTTTTTTTTTCTATGTTGTGTATGTGTTTGTTCGTTATTTTAGTTGTATATTCAACAAAGTTTTTTTTAAAAAAAAAAAAAAAAGTTAATGTAGCCATAATGTTTTGTTGAATATTTTAATCCCAACCTGAGAGATCACACCATCTATCGGAAAGAATCAATTTTTATATTAGCTTAGCTATTGGCCTCGCTGGAGAAGAGCCTGCCAAACTGTAACTGTAATGAACCAGTTTCCAAATGAACCAATTTGTGATATGGACCATATACAAGTCTTAGTGGGACTATGATTTGCCAATAAATTCCAAAGCTTGCTTGATCTTTCCAGGTTGTGATTATGATATTAGCTGAACAAAGCATTCTTCTGAACAAAAAAATGAAAAAAAAAATGTTTTCAATATGCATAAGCTACTGGAGCTTGTGATAAATATATATTTTTCTGAATATTTTATGACTGTAAACTACTTGGGGGCCTTTTTGATTATTGAAGATGGTGTATACAATAATTTTTGGGGATATATAATTACACTGAATAAAGGAAAAACAATAGCATTGGGAAAAATTAAACAACAGGGATTTGTTTCACTGGATGAACATCACAGTCAAATACGCTTAAGCTTTTCTTGAGAAATTTGCTGTTTTATATATACCATTCTCTTCAAGGCCAGGTTACGCTTAGTTTCATCTACAGATTTGCATTAGTGGTCTCTGGATAATTCTTTGATAATGTCCCAAAATACATGATAAGCTTAATTCAGTTTTCCTTATCATTGAACAGGAACATCATTTGCTTCCATCTTCCACCAGCTACAAAATTGGAAAGAAAGAAATTATTTGGTGATTGAATTACAAAATGCTCTGAATTTATGAAAATAATAGGAAAATATCAAGTCAGAATTTAAATTTAAATTTAATCTTAGAAGCACAAAAGTTATTTATAATATAGTATCTTCATTTTAAAACTTTAAACTGATTTATTTCCCAATCACTGACTTTATAAGACTGACTCTTGTGTAATGGAAACCCAGCTAACACATATCTCCCCATTACATTCTCTCCCTTAATACAGATGATATTGATTACAAAAATAACACTCTAGATGTTTCCGACTATAAATTCCATGGTATGTAATTACTGGGATGCTGCTTAGGGATTGCAGAACTGTCACTCAAAACGTCTGAAAGATACTAGAGAAATTTCAGCACAGTTCAAGTTACTGATCACAGATTATACTATAACATAGACTGATATTTTTTTCCCTGAAAAATGCCCAGTGCTTTAAACTTAATTGGGATTCAGTATGTATTTAATAAATATAATTAATGTGTGTGTTTTTTTAGATTCTGCAAAAATTTCAAAATCGAAGTTGTTTTACTTGCCCAGAGTTTCTGATCAAGTTAAAGGGAAGAATCAAGAAATTACATCTAACTAATATTCAAAATGCATTTGTAAAGACATTTTTCAGAATATATGCAAATACTTTTAAAACCTGCAATTCTGCATTTATTCACTTTTTTATATTTTAATATAAATATAGAAAAATAGGAAAAATATATTCATTTTGGAAATTCCAAACAGTTAAATTCTAAGTACACATATATAAATCTAATTCAACTGTTCTTCACATTTCCTGCTTTCTCGTCTTCTAC